TAGTGAGTGTGATCACATTTAGGATCGATAGCCGTACTATCAAGAGGGGTGAAACTCGTATCGAAATACGGTTATCAAAGTGCCACTAGATGCTCTAACTCATTGCATATGCATTTAGGATCTAGTGGAGTGCTAACACCCTTAAAAACATTTATGAAAATATGCTAACACATGTGCACAAGGTGATACACTTGGTGGTTGGCACATTTGAGCAAGGGTTAGGAACTTCACCGGCGGAGTGTCCGCCCGTAGAGTGCGGACAGTCCGACGGTACCACCGGCGCTCTATACAGAAAAGACGAAGGTCACTATAAGTGACCGGACACTGGTCTTGGTAGGACCTGTGCGTCCGTTCAGTGGATGCGTGAAGACGCTAGCGTCGGTCCGCGATCAGACGCTGGGTCACTTAGTGACCGGACGCTGACGGGGTGCGTCCGGTCCTGCTGACGTGGCAACACACAGTGAAGAGGGTGACTGACCGAACGCTGGGTGAGTCCGGTCGTGAAAAAACATCTCTTGTTGCTTACTGGAAACGACCAGACGCTGAGGTCCAGCGTCCGGTCATCACTTGACCATTGGGATCAGGCACTCAGTATTTGAAGAGAGGGGACACGTGGCGTGCATCGCACGACAGGACGCTGGGGTCCTGCGTCCGGTCGATATGACCGGAGCGTCCGGTCACCCTGGTTACTCCTCGGTGCTCGAACATCGCTAGCTACGTCGGGGATTCCTCGGTGCTTGAACATCACCAGCCATGCCGGGAACTCCTTGGTGCTCGCTCGGACATCGCCAGCTACGACGGGAACTCCTCGGTGCTCGGAAGTCGCCAGCTACGCTGGGGACTCCTCGGTGCTCGGACATCGCCAGCTACACCGAGGACTCCTCAGTGCTCGGACATCGCCAGCTACGCCGAGGACTCCTCGGTGCTCGGACATCGCAAGCTACGCCGGGAACTCCTCGGTGCTCGGACGTCGCCAGCTACGCGGGGGACTCCTCGATGCTCTGACATCGCCAGCTACATCAGGAACTCCTCGTTGCTCGGACATTGCCAGCTACGTCGGGGACTCCTCGGTGCTCGGACATCGCCAGCTACGCCAGGGGCTCCTTGGTGTTCGAACATCGCTAGCTACGCCGTGGACTCCTCGGTGCTCGAACGTCGCCAGCTACACCGAGAACTCCTTGGTGCTCGGACATCGCCAGCTACGCCGGGAACTTCTCAGTGTTCGGACATCACCAGCTATGCTGGGGACTCCTCGGTGCTCGGACGTCGCCAGCTACATCGAACTCCTCGGTGCTCGAACATCGCCAACTATGCCATGGACTCCTCGGTGCTCGGACATCGCCAGCTATGCCTGGGACTCCCTTGATGGTCGGATCTTGTTATGTCTCATCGGTGTGCTATCAAGCTGCTCCATCTGTCGTTTCGATCGTGTGCCGATCTTGAGCAAAGACGTCTAGGTCTTGATACGCGCGCATGTCGCATTTAACGCCGACAAGCTTTTAGACTTTTAGACTTTTTTTCTTGACCTGCTACAAGATTCATTCTTTATCTTCCAGCAGACTTTGGGGACTAAGTGGGCACACTTAACCTTGTAGTGAATGTGCGCTTTTCAATTTAGGGCTTCACCCGTGGACTGGTTGCCTGCTCGACCGGTCTTCTGCCTTTCTTCTACTTTCTGACCCTGGCACCACGTGACTACGTCACCTACTGTCAGGCTCGGGGACTAGCTGTGGGGGTATGGCCCCCGATATCCACAAGACAAGACGTGGGCTGCACCATCAGAGGTGACCCAACCCACAAGATCAAGGCGTGCACGGCACTGATCGACGTTCACCGCAAGATATTGTATAGTATCAAATATGATACTTTTGTTGTAACCCTACCCCTCCAGAGTATATAAGGAGAGGCAGGGGTCCCCTAGTCGACATCTCCATCGATCTACATACATCTCAATACAATACACCAAAGACATAGGATGTAGGGTATTACGTCGATCAGACGGCCCAAACCTGTCTAAATCGTTGTCTCTGCGCCTTGTGTCACCATCCGGTTCCTGATTACGCGCACCTCCACCGATCAATCTACCTTCGTGGGATACCCCTCGGAGGACTGCCGAGCATCTTTTTTTGACAGGTACTCTAGTAAATTGCTCGTGGCTTGTATGATTCTCATCTTGTGTTGGTTGTGCGGCACCCTATTGAGGGTTTGGCGTGTGATGCCAATTAGCGCGTGAATCTCCAAGTGAGTGAATCGCCACAACGGGGACTAGCTTACCGGCAAGCAAGTGAACCTCGGAGGAAAAATCATTGTGTTTGATTGTCTCCTTGGTATTCACTCATTGGTCACTTGCCATGGTGGTATACCTCTCTACCACTCTCTTATATTTCATTATACATTCACTTAGATAGAGCTAGTGGTAGTTTAGACTAGATAGTGTATCATTTAATTATATTACTCTCACTAGGTTGATCACCTAGGTGTATATTAGTGATATAGCTTTGTTGTGATATACTAGAGATCATAGAAAATAGAATTGGATATGTGGCTTGCAACCCTAAGTATAGTGCTAGCACAAAATTCGCTTCGCCATCTTATTGACTAATCATTTGTCTTAGTGTTGTAGAAAATTTTAATAGGCTATTCACTGCCCTCTAGTCATTAGGACCTTTTAGGCGTTGAGGCGTAGAGCCACTCCACCCAAGCTCTTCGGTTGCATCGCCCCTATCCTTCCTCACCGCCGTCCTCGAGCCACAGCGCCCAAGTAGGCCTGCTACGGACTCCACCATGGTGGGGCGTCTCCATTTGACTGTCGCGGCTGCCTCCACATCGTCGGGTGCCGCCATCTGCTATCACGACCGCCTCCATCGTGTCAGTTCGCCACGCCGCCCACGCCATGTTGCGTTGAACAACACGTGTTACAAACGTATGTTTCAGATTTTTCAGAGGTATGTCTTAAGTGTTTCATACGGACACGCGCCACTCGCTCCCACCTGCGTCGCGCGCCCTCGCGCGTAGATTTGATTTGCCCCGCGTGCTGTAGTGGATCGACGGCACAGTCTTCGTCACCAAGCTCTTCGTTTGCGTCGGCCCTGTTCTTTCTCACTGCTGTCCTCGAGCTGTAGTGCCCAGGTAGGTCTGCTGCGTCTGACTCCATCATGGTGGGGTGGTTCCATCCGACAATCGCGGCCGCCTCCACCTTGTCAGGTGCCGCCATCTGCTGTCGTGGCTGCCTCCACCACGTCGAGTGGCGTCATCTGCTGTTGCGGCCGCCTCCACTGTGTCAGTTCACTGCGCCGCCCGTGTCATGTTGCGCTGAACAACGCGTGTTTCAAACGTATGTTCCGGATGTTTTAGAGGTATGTTGCAAGTGTTTCATACAGACACGTGCCACTCGCTCCTGCCCGCGTCGCGCGCCCTCGCCATGCGTAGATTCGCCCCACGCACTGTACTAGATCGATGACGCCTAGGCGCAAGGCCACTCCACCGTCTTCATCGCCAAGCTCTTCGGCCGCGTCGGCCCTGTTCTTCCTCACCGCCATCCTCGAGCTGCAGCGCCCAAGTAGGCTTGTTGTGGCTGACTCCACTGTGGCGGGGCACCTCCATTCGACTATCGCGGCAGCCGCCACCTCGTCGGGTGTCGCCATCTGCTGTCGCGGCCGCCTCCACCACGTCGGGTACCGTCGTCTACTGTTGCGGCCGCCTCCACTGTGTCAGTTCACCGCGCCGCCCATGCCATGTTGCGCTGAGCAACGTGTGTTGCAAACATGTTTCAAATGTTTCAGAGGTATGTGCAAATGTTTTATATGTATATTGCAAATATAGATCGGGATGTTGCATATGTTGCAATGATTTGTACACGTATGTTGAAAGCGTCTATTTCTAATGTTTCATCTATTTTTTCGGATGTATGTTGCAAGTGTGTTTATCTAGACGTTTGCCCTATTCGTTTGGCTGATAAGTCATGGCTGAAAGTACTGTTGGTTGATTTGTTGTAAGAGAAAAATACTGTTCGTTGGCTGAAAAAGTACGACTTATAAGTCAAATGAAAAGGACGGTTGTATATGTTTCGCACGTATGTTGTAAGTGTTTTATCTGAATATTGCATATATTTTCAATGGTTTTTATGTGTTTTTATAAGTATTCCAGACACATGTTTCAAGTGTTTCATATGTCTTATTTTATATGTTGTAAGTATTACATCTTGATGTTTCAAAAATAGATTGAATGTCGTACGTGCAAGCGCGCGGTCCCCGCGTGGGCACGCGGAGCATTCGACGTCTGGTGGCGGCGCACGAAGGTGCAGGCAGGTGATGTCCGAGCGACGCAGGCCCTCGCGTGGACGCGCGAAACGAGGCGTGAAAACGGATGCCGAGAACTTTTTGGCCTCGTTCGCTGGTCTGAAACTTGGCTGAAACTGACTGAAAAATACTATTCCGGCTGAATTGTTGTGAGAGAAAAACACTGTCCCGGTTGAAAAAAGAAGCCGAACAAGTCGAATATGGGGTAAGCCGAACATGACCTTTTTTCATGTATATGCCGAGAACTAGTTATGGCTTGTTCGCTTGGTCGTAAACGATCGTAAATTTTAAGTTAGAACGTTATTTTTCTCTCACGTCAAATCAGCCAGCAGTAATAATGCACGATCAGCACCAGCGGAGCAGGCTCTTAGTCACTCTGCCCCTGACCGGCCAGGCCCAGTAACTAGTTCAGCCATCCGATCCGATCAGCCAAAAATATCCAATCACGCCCTCAGCTTGCGCGAGACCGCGTCGTGCCGTGGCCCCTGGCCCGTGGTGATTGGCCGAGTTCAGTTCCTTCCGCTCGAAGAGAAGAGGGGGAAGAAAAGAAAAAAAAACCCTCGTTCCCCGGTCCGCGCTCGGCTGCCGTGAATCCCACCTTCCAGTTCCCAAAGCAAGCGATCAGGGCAGCGCGCCAGGATCGGAGGCCAAGACGCCATCAATCAGCAACTGCACGCGCGTGGCCGGCCGCAGGAGGAGGAGATGGGCCTGTGCTCGTGCTGCTGCCGGTGCCTGGAGCTGCTGTGCTCGGTCCTCCTCCCGCCCCTCGGTGTCTGCCTCCGCCACGGCTGCTTCTCCGTGAGTCCCCCTCCCTCCTCTTCCTGATCCCTTTCCCTCCTTGCTCTGCGCTAACAGCCCGTTTGGCTTTCCGGGTCCGGGCAGTTGGAGTTCTGGATCAGCGTGGTGCTCACCATCCTCGGCTACCTCCCCGGCGTCCTCTACGCCGTCTACGTCATCTGCTCCGTCGACCCCCACCGCCACCGCGACCCCGACGACGACGACTACGTCTACGTCGCCTGACCGATGGACGGATCCCCCCAGGTCCCCGTGGTGGTCTGGTCCGTGCCTCTGCTGTGTGCATCTCTGTGTTGGGTTAGTAAACTAAATCCGTCCTGTGGCCGTCTGTAAACTATTTCGTGTGTCCAATCTGACAATCTGGACGAATTCATTCCATAAAGATCTGCTATTGTGGGATCTGTGCAGTTAATCAGGGTTGCTTTGCTACCACGTTCAGTTTTGCTTATGAATGAAACTGCAGATGGTTAGTAACCACCTGCATTTTCCCTCATTGCCAGTTGAGATCAATTCGAGGCAGCTTAGTGCTTTGTATGTCAATCCATCCTGGTGGTGCCTCACTTGCAGTGAGCAATCAAGTACCATGCTGCTAGAATTGAAAATAGCTACCCCTTACCAAAACAAAACAGCGAGAACTGAAAAGCAATCAATGAAGTAAGGTTTTCATGAACAGCACTTGTTTAGAAACAAGTTCAGTGATCCATTTCCCTGTTAGTACCAGAGCATGGAATTTTAACAGCTAGATGATCATCATATATTCAATGATTCGAATAGAGGGTCAGAGCCTCTGTTAGCCATATTGGAGCTGTTCTTACAAGCTCATTGGTCGGTGGTAAGTAAATATTGTCTAATGTCTAGGAAGTAAGTTCTAACTCTAAAAAGGTAAAAGGCCTAGCATAACATAGTAGGAAACCATGCTCCCATAATCACATCTGAGATGCCTTGGCATACTGAGCGAATCTTGAGAGTCTGTGATTCATAAGGGCTTCTGGGTTTCCTTCTTCAACCTAAAGTGGAGCGGTGTAGAGTTAGATAATATCCTACATTAATTGGATAATAAGGCATTTGAACAAAAGCATACTCATGACCTGGAGGTCTGTCATTTACCATAGGAATTAAAACGTTGATCCATTTTTGTTTGTCACTTGGTTTAAGACCTGTTTTTATTTATGTAGTGTTTTTAACAGTAATTTTCAACAAATGTGGCATTCCCATTTGTATTGTTATGATATATCATTCTTGTGAAATGTTATTTTGGTACATTTGTTCTGAGTTAATTCCCATATTCCTCTTTGGTTTTTGCAATGGTCCTTCAAAATGTCGATCCTAGTAGCACAACTTACCAGTTTTCCTTGATCAAGAACTAGAATATTGTCCATCTTCATCACTGTTGAAATACGGTGTGCTATGGTGAGAACAGTCATGCCTTTGCATTCAGCAGAAATAGTATTTTGCAACAGGAAGGCTGTTTGGTTGTCAACATTGGCTGTGCATTCATCTAGACAAAGCACCTGCAGAATCACTAACAGTTACATGCATCACTTATTTGATCATCTCTGACAGAGATTTATAACTCACATGAAAACTGATAGAATTGACCAAATGGGTTTGATTAGGCTTTTGCACAGTTGTGTATCTGCTATAAGCAATACTTTAATGATATGGTAGCCCGTACCTTGGACGATTTTAGGATGGCACAGGCAAGGCATAGGAGCTGTCGCTGCTCTACTGAAAAAGATGCACCGCTTTCTTTCACATGGATGTAAGTCCACCTATTGATTCTACCTCTCCCTTCATATGGCAGTTTTCAAGAACTTCCCATATCCTGAGATCTGTTGTTGTATTGAAAGGATCCAGGTTTTCCCTATCATGTATATTCACGATTAAATATTGAATATTGAACATTGATTTTTGTTTATTCCCTAATCAGTGCAAGCATGATAATAGTCAGCATGAAATGAAAACAGTGAAAAGCCAGCCTGAAAACTGTGAAAAAGAGCACTCAGTAGTTACCTCAAAGACCCATCAAACAAAAAGGGGCTCTGTGGAACTACTGCAAAATGTCCACGTAGTTCTCGGATGGCAACTTTAGCCAAATCAATGCCATCTACTAAGATGCGGCCATTGCAAATTGGAACTAAGCGGAAAAGTGCATTCAGTGTACTTGATTTGCCTGCTCCAGTCCTTCCTATTATTCCAACCTAAAAGCCAGAGCAGATTTCAGGATAGCTTCACAAATCAAAATGACTCAGTGGAAGTCTTGGAAGCACGTACCTGCATGCCTGATGCAATAAGGAACGAAACGTCACTTAAAGCAGGGGGTAGCTCTGCCTTGTACTTCAGTGTTACATGTTCAAACTCAGCCTGTTCGGTTGGCTGGTTCGTATCGTTGCTGGTTCGTGAAGAAGTACTACTGGCTGGTTTGTGTGAGAGAAAAATACTGTTCTGGCTAGAAATTTACGATCGTATACGACAAGCACAGGCCAAACGAACAGGCTAATCTTCCTTCCATTGGCCAGCTTCTCGGTGGAGGTTCTGATCCCTGGAGTTCTTCTTGAGGTATGCCAATGTACTGCAATCATCATCAAACTATTAAAGCTAGAGAGATGCTTGATGCATAAGGATAAAAGTGATTCTTCGGGTTACCTCATCAACCCTTTCCACGGAGATCATTTCCTTTTCTGTCTCTGTAAAGGTGGTTAAGAAGCCATTCAGCAACGATACTACAAGTGCTGCATATGATAAAGCCAGGCCCACCTGCAGTAGATTTTTTAATATGATTAATATCTAGTACTTTGAACATTTACAATTTCCATCGAGATGGAAATGCCTAAGTACAAGGTCAGCAATTGTGTTGTGTCCAATAAAACCTACCAGTCCAGGTGTTGCAAAGTTGACAAGAGAACTGCTATGGAAGCTGATAGTGGCCATCATGGCGATAAACAGAATGATAAAACCTGCCAACAACTGGACAGTTTGCTCGTCACTGCAGTGCCTGATTATAGGCCTCAGTGATGGATAAAAGTAAGGGGAAATTCCCTGTGTGTCATTAAAAAAGATCGCAATGCCCTGTGTGTCTCTGAAAAAGTTCAGTGGTCTTCAACGTCACTACTCCAACTTTTTCGTGTCCTCCGTACCACTTCCGTCAGTTTAAGCTCTAACGCCGTCAAACTGCAGGTGTGAAAAGACGAAAATACCCTTAAGTCTAAATATGTTATTACTTTTTTTTAGCATCTTAACGACTTCAAATGAAAAAACTTAAAACTAGAAAGTTGTAGATCTCGTCGAGATCTATAATTTTCATATAAAAATTATTTTCATTTAATTCCGCAAAAAAATAATATGTGATATGATTAATATATCTTAGAAAAATCATATTTTTTTACGGAATTAAATAAAAATAAATTTTATATGAAAATTATAGATCTCGACGAGATCTACAACTTTCTAGTTTTGAGTTTTTTCATTTGAAGTCGTTAAGATGCTCAAAAAAAATTAATAACATATTTAAACTTAAGGGTATTTTCGTCTTTTCACACCTGCAGTTTGACAGCGTTAGAGTCCAAACTGACGGAAGTGGCATGGAGTATACGAAAAAGTTGGAGTAGTGGCGCTGAAGACCGTTGAATTTTTCTAGGGGCACACAGAGCATTGCGATCTTTTTTAATGGCACAGAGGGAATTCTCCCTAAAAGTAACTAATTCCATGTACAAGATGATTTTGGCCCTGTTCGCTGGGAGGAATTTGGAGAAATCTAGATGAATCTGGATAAATCTGTGAGAGAATGAACATTGTTTTTCAGCCAGAAACAGTAAATTCCAGCTGAACTTAGACCATCCTAACGGCCCCTTTATTATAGCAGGACAAAAAAAATGTACCTGGAGTCTCAACGAGATCCACAAACTAGCAATGAGCTCAGAGTAGGATGTTTGGTGGTGTTCGCTGGTCTGATTGAACCCCCTCACGAGTTACTGTTCACCAAATTAGCTAAATAGTATTTTTTTTCTCACAACAAAACAGTCGGAACAATGTTTTTCAGCTAAGTTTTAGACCATCGAACGGGACCTAGTGTCACATGTTGGATGAATCTTTCCAAGAAGAACCCCTGTGTAGTGTACTGTCAGTATCTTGAACAAACCACACAAGCACTAGCACTAGGGCCTTTGATATGTGATGCTTTTGAGTTCAAAAGGGAAGTTTTGATGTTTTAACATCCTTCTGAATTTGTCTAAATGCAACTAGAATGCTTACTTCATTCTGGAAAGCTTTACTTCATTCTGGAAAGCTCTTATTGTTCATGAACCATCAAGTGTCTCTGTGAAAGACGAATAGATTGGTGAACGAGCAACGCTATCAAGTCGCCGTACTTCACGTGATGTAGACCTGTAATAGAACTGTACAAAGCATTAGTTTCTTTCTCCATAAGGTACAGCTTAGATATATACCGTGATGCACTGTGTTAACTAAGAGAAAAAGAGGATTAACTGTTACACACTGCTGTATTAAAGTATGGATTTTATATAGTCTAAAAGGCTCAGTTAAAGCATCAATACAGAAATAAATGAGTGAAATTGGTACCTGCAGCTTCCTATAGATAAGCCAGAGTGGAAGTAAGATGAGTAAGAAGGAAATCTGCAGACCAAACATTCATGAAATACAAGAAACATGGTGGGGTGGGAGTGTTCGGCTGGCATTAATTTTATACGGTAGCAGCTGGAAAACACTGTAGCAGCAAGGTTTTTTAGAGAAAAATATTATTCTGGTTAAAAAAAAATTGACCAGCAAGCCGATTGTGGCCAGCCGAACAAGCTGTTAGTCTCTTTTCTGAAGTACAAGGCTGGCCCTAAACTATTGTTTACATAATTTACCTGTGAATAAGACAAAACAACCAGAGTGCCGAGTAAGCTGAAGAAGTTGGCCACAAATATATTGAGGATGAAAGGAAGAGAATCATCAACAGTGTACAGGTCTGACGATAATCTGAAAGTTCATAAAGCGTCGTCAAGGCGAGGGGCGTTTCAACCTTTTTAAGCTTACTAAAAACTAGAGGTGATCTGATGAATAATGTTGCCCAAGAACACAAGTAGATCTCAGATTTGATAAAGCCCATAGACCGCTTGATTGAATCTGAAATTGCAATGACTTAGAATACAAGATGGTCTGCCACTACTTATATAGCAAAGTGGTTTTATCTACTCTAGCATATTCTGCTGCATAAAGCAGAT